CTGTACTGTGAAATGTTGAAATCCAATCCCTTTTACCTGGCTTTCAATTGATTCAGGTAAGGCCTAGAATACTTGAACAGGAAGAGCCTGTTCTATGAGCCCAGGATGCCTTCTTGAATGAAGGACACCTTAATAATAACAACAACCATAATGTTATCTGTAACCAACACAGACTGACAGTAAAGATGTGCCAAGGTGCTGTATGAAGTATTTTATAGCCACTATTACGTTTAATCCTCAAGATTACTTATAAGATGGGTATTATTGTCCCATTTTATATTTGAGGGCAATTAAGTCCTAGAGAGGTTAAGAGATTGACCCAAAGTCATGTGGCTATAGGAAAAGTAGTGGTAGAGTTAGAATTTTAACCCAAAGCTGTGTAGCTCTGAAGTTCAAACTAGGGTAATGTCTTTGTTACAGGTCTACATACTATGTGCCAGACACAGTCCTGAATGACTCACATAATAACCTTTTGACCATCACAATAATCCCTCTAAGAACTTTGCCCCATCTTTTTCCTTGTTCCTCAGTGCAGAGACATGCACTAGCTTCAAGTTTGTCATGCCCTTCGAGATTCTCTTGTTGGGCTGCTGATCCCACTAAGGGCTGTGCCAGGTTGGTAAGAGTACGTGTGAAATTTAACACCTTTGAATAAATTGATCCTAGTAGAGGCCTATGGCCTTGGGCATATTACTTAACTTCTTTGATCCTCAGCCTTCTCATCTGTCATTTGAATGGGCTAGCTCCTTTGAGCTCGAATTTACTAGAATTCTATGACAAATGCTGGGCTTGTCTGGAAATAAGTGTAGGGCATGAAGGTTTTGTTACATGGGGGTAGATGTTATTCTGCCATCAAGGCAGAGGAACATTGTGGGTTAGGGGGATGTGAGGTCCCAGCTCCTAGGAGCAGTAGGGAATGGACATCAAGGAGGGAGGGGGCAGGGTCCTTCAGCTAGCCAGAAGACTGAGCCAAAAGACTGTCACCTGACTAAAGAGGACACAGTAAGTCAGAACCTCTCCGGTGCGGGAACAAGCATGTGGTCCTATGTGTGACCTTGGGAGCAGAGCTTGTCCTACCAGATGGAAATCACCAAGGGGCTTGGAAGGGAGAGAGTTCCCCATCCCTTCAGGTAGTTGTTTGGGGGTTGGACAGCCATTGGAAGCCCGGTAGAGGGGAGCTGACCTGTAGAGAGCAGACTTCTCAATGTGTAGACTTGATCATGTCCCTCTTCTCCCTGCCCCATCCACTGGATCCCAGTTGCTTATGAATACAGTCCAAGGTATCTCCTTACCATGTGGGTGAGGCTTGTTACAATCTGATGCTGACTTGGCCACATTCACTTCTCACTATCTCGGTTATGGTAGCCATGCCTAACTTCTTGCTGTTTTCTGAACACATGACATGTTTACACTTCTGAATCCACCCATATCCCCCTTGAATCCTCCTTCACACCTCTAGCCGACTCATCCCTTTGGCTGAGCTATAATTATGCATCAATTTTGTCAACAGATCATGAGCCCCTTGAGGACAGGGCCTCGTCACACTCCTGTTCATATGGTGGGATGGGGACTGGAGTATGAGCTGTGTACAGACTAATGAATGAGGTGGGATTAGATGACATCTGACAGGCTCCGTGCTAAGATCCTGCTATTTTAGTTCATTTCAATAAGCATCAAAATGGTGGGTCTGCCATGTACAATCAAATGGTAAGGGTTTGATACACAGATAGTAACAGTACTAATCACGTGAACAGAGACAACGGGAGCCGGGGCTAGGGACGAGGATGTGGAGAGGAGAGAGAAAAATAGGGAGGTGGCTACTTAGTGAAGACAGCCTTGGTCTGTCTCATGGCCCCAAACTAGTCCAATGAGTGGGTGGGAAAGAGGAAAGAGAAAGCAATGGGGATGGATGATCCTGCTGGCAATGAATTTTGGTTCTTTTGGGATTTAGAACTGAAATTGGCTTTCTTTAGAAGCCTCCACCCCTGCTCCCCAGTGGGTATTTTTAAGGGAATAGGTATCTGGGGGCCAATTTCCAACCACCTCTCATCCTTGACCCATTGTATCAGCAACAGTAACAGATAATTCAGCAAGTAGGGCCCACCCACAAAAAGCGTTTGCCTTCAGTAACCTCTGGGGAAATGAGGAAAAGTCACTGGAATCCAGTAGCAAGTAAGCAGGACTACCACAGAAGCCTAGTTCCCCCGCATCCCTTTTTCTCTTCAGTGGCATTGATATAGCTGCCCCCTGCCCCGGTTTCTGCCCCCTGGGTTATCAATCAGAATTTGAAGTGTGGCTTCAGCTAGAGCTTCCCAACTCTTTGAGTTCTCACTCAAGACCCCCATCCTCTTGCTCCTCACCCAAATTTTGAAAGTCAGAAAACTCTGATCAGCCCAGTTTTTGATGATGGCTAGAGAACAACGGGGTGTGCAGATATGGTTTCTCCCATGGGTACCCCGCTGTTCCTGTGCTCCACGGACAGCAAGAGCTGGGGTGGCAGGGAGCTGGTGGGGTAAGCCAGGCCAGATTCAAGGGTAGTGCTGGGGCTAGGGCTTATTTGGGAACCTTGAAACCCCTTCCCTCCCTTCTTGACCAAAGTTACTTTTCTTCCTATTTTTATTAACACAAATCCCTAAGTGTGTTTATGTCCGGAGAAAGTACTATGAATAACTGATGATACACTTGTTGATTAACTTGTGAATCATCCTGGGAGGAAAAGGAGACTGGAGAAAGGAGCAGGAGCTTTGGAGACTTGCAGAAGATGTGTCGTAAAATATTTAGCAAATGGTAGTCCAAACCACAGGGAAGAAGTCAGGGAGATGGGATCTCGCAAGCTGCCAGGATTTAAAAGCTATTTAATGCTAACCATCCGTGCCAAAGAGCTGAGAGCGTCTCCCTTCCTCCCCCCACTGGCAGCCACTGCTCCGAGAATGTGGAAAGGGTTTGGACCGGCTGCTCGGTGCTGGTGGGAACAGAGAGCAGGCAGCGTGCTGAAAGACTTTTTGTTTGAGAAAGCTTGTAAACAAGGGATCTCCTCTGAGGTGGTATCCTCACCTCGTCTACTGCTCACACGTTCTTTTCTTTCTTTTTTCTTCAAGATCTGCCGGATGATAAACTCTCCACATGGAACAGTAGTGGAGCCTCTGGTCAGTCATGGGGATGTTTTGGAATATCCTGATGTTTGGCATCAAGGTAAAAAGAGCCATGTGACGGACTGAGTTTGTTACTCTTCTTCCCCGTGTTTTGATAACACTTCAACAATGACTTCAGTCACTGGTCCCCAAGTGCTGAGGTTGTAGCAAAAGTTTTGAGCTAGGAAGTCATGGCTCCAAAAGGGTTAGGGGTCTTACATATTTAGGGCTGTGGTCAGGACTCCCTTCTGTAATTGCCTGTTTGGAGATGTTTATTTTGGGGTAATGGATGAAAAGATCTTGCCTGATATTTTGGCCTGAAAGCTTCAGATGTGAAGTTAGGTTCTCCCAAGTATCCGTTGGTTATTTATAAAGAAAGATAAACTAAGGGAGAAGCGGCAGGGAAATACTTAAAGTCAGTGGACATAACCATCCTGGGGAGAAAGAGCACAGGAGAGTTTGTTTACAAAGTACCCTTCAAACTCACAGCATCAAGAGTTCACAGGGAAACAATGCTAGTGAATTCGGTGGCTCCGATCAATGAGCCTATTAATGTGCCAAGAAGGTCCCACTTTTAGGGAACATACCATCTGCATGCTGGGGAGCCATGGGTCACCTGAATGATACAGATAATTAGCTTTTGAGGTTAGAAAAGTAGATCTCTGGGCAAGGTGGTCCCAAGGAAGACCACAGGAATAATTTTAGCAAAACTGGTCCGGGGGCACCTGGGTGGCTCAGTGGGTTAAGCCTCTGCCTTCAACTCAGGTCCTGATCTCAGAGTTCGTGGGATCGAGCCCCGCATTGGGCTCTCTGTTCGGCAGGGAGCCTGCTTCCCGCCCCCCCCCCCACCTCTGCTTACTTGTGATCTCTCTCTCTCTGTCAAATAAATAAAATCTTAAAACAACAACAACAAAACAACTGGTCCATGTGTATCAGAACCAGAATGTGGCTCTTCTCCCTTATTCATGTTTGATTTTGGTTCCTCCTGTTGCTGTTGCTCCTGTTTTGCTTTCCTGGAATGTCTCTTCTCCTACTCTATCCCTATCCCAAACCCAACACATCCTCTGGGCCCACTTTAATGAATTTAGAGTCACACTTAACTATTCCAATCTTCATTAATCCTTACTTCCTTCAAGCCCTTACCACACTTGGAGCCATGTCTGGGCACATGATTATATGGAGTATTATAATCTGTTTTTAAGAAAGAGCAATCTTTTCCCTTCAGTTCAACTCCAACTTCTTTTCGGTAGGTACCAAATCTTCCAACATCTCTGTTACCCACAGCTTCTAGCAGTGCCTACCCTGGTATATGGGGTATGCGTCGGTATCCCATCAGCAGGCTGGACTGAAACCATCTGCTCATGGTGAGTGAAAATCCTGACTGGGGTTAGGGGAAGAAGACTGGATTCTTGGTAGGCTAGAGCTATGCCCCAGACGTGCACATCCAGGGTTAAGAAACACATGCTCTGAAAAGTTTTTGGTGCTAAGGTTTCCCTTCTTTTCTTTATTGTAATTGTTAAGGCAGATGGGAGGGTTCAAAAACGTTGTGAATGGAGTGAAAAGTTAATCTACTGAGAATGAAAGTTGATCAGCAGTGCCATTCACATTTTTTAAAAATGTGTAAGAAAGAAAATGGGGTGCCTGGGTGGCTCGGTTGGTTGAGGCACAGTGTCTGTTCTCTCCCTTTCAGTCTGCTCCTCCCCCCACTCATGCTCTCTCTCAAATAAATAAATCTTAAAAGAAGAAGAAGAAGAAAAGTGAAGGAAGGAAGAAGGGAAGTAAGAAAGAACGGACTTAAAAGGAAATAAGCCTTGTGGCGGGGGTAAAGTAGGGGATGTGTAAGACTCAGGTCTCAAATACAACCAGCAATTTCATCATGTGGTAATTTTTAATATTAAAAGTAAACTGTAAATGTATCTTTATAAACAATATGCATAAAATAGATCTATTATTCTAAAACCTTTTCTTTTTAAAATGCTTTTTCACAGTAAATTTTTTAGGTGTCAGATTTCCCCTCAAAATAATAGTGCAATTGGAAGAAGGAACACATGGTCAGTGAACTCGGACTTCTCTGCTAATACAAGTCCTTGTATATTTCCTGTAGGAGCGGGTGAAGACTCATGTCTGTCTCTGTTTTCTTTATGACTTGCAATAGCTGCACATGTTCTGTTACAATCTGTCTGAGGTCTGTCATTTTCTGGAGCAGCTTGGCAAAGAGCTGGGAGGACTCAGGATGGTTCATCTTGAGCTGGAGCTCCAAGGCTTGCAGCAGGTTGTCCTGGATGTCCTCAATGGGCTTCACATTCAGCAAACCTGGGCGGTCTGGGGGAGGAGAAGAACAGGAGGTTCAGTAACAGACTCCTCTGGCCCCTACATTGGAGGCATCTTCAGCCCAACTAAATTACCCGACTTTTTGTTGGCTTGTTTTGTTCTGGTTCTAGAATAAGTGGGGAGGGAGGGTAAGTAGACAGTGTGCAAGAAGTGCATATGGGAGGGAGGATGGACTGAAACCAAGACTATCACTGGTCTTTCCAGGGGCATGGTTTCCTGGCTGGGGTTAACTCTGCCTGATCAGTTGACATAACACAACGGCAATGCAATCCTCTCCCCAGACTGAGGACTCTTCTGCCAGGATGTTTCTGTCACTCAGAAATCTCATTTTCAGCTGCTGCCTCTTCTTCATGAGTGTGTTTTATAACCTTACTACTTACTTTCTCACCACAGCTGTTGATACGCTTTTAAAACCAGCATTGTCTTCTTTTTCCCTTAACGTGGCATATACATTCTCAATGAGACAAGACATAGTTTTTAAATACTGGTACAGTTTGGAAGGATGGAGCCTCTAGATTTTAAAAAGGGTTTCTTCTGAGTGGTGAGGCAATTTTCACTTTCAATGGTTGAACTTAAATTACCTTTAAACTTTTTATGTTTTTCTTCATGCAGATCTTGTAAGATGCATCCCTAATTATAGTGTCTTTTAATTCTTTATTTTTTTGCTTTATAGTATTCTATAGTATTCATTTTCTTTTCTAATCTAGCCCTGCTGGTGGTTACAAAAAATTTATTCATTTTGGTATACTGAATATATTCCAATTTCCTAAGCTTTTGTCAATTCAAATAATTTTTATCATGGATTTATTTTCCTATTTTGGATAGACTATTACATCTTCAAATAATGATAGTTTCATTTATTTCTTCTTTTCCAGTGTTTACACTTCTCATTTCTTTTTCTTGCCATAGTGTATTGGCCAATACCTCTAATATGGTATTAAATAGTCATAGTGGTAGGATGTATTCTTGTTTTATTCCTAACCATGACAAAAATACTTCTAATGGCTTACTACAAGAATGTTTACTATAGATCATGGTGGATACATTTTAACCCTGGCTTTCCAAGAGCTATAAAGTTTTTTAATTAGTTTAGTCAGGAATGTTGTGGCATCTCCTCAAATTCTTTAAACTTTTTCTCTCTAAAGAGATGACCAAATGGTTTTTTCTTAATCTAGTAAATTATATTAATAGATTTCTTTATATCACTGTACTCATTTGCTCTTATTTTATTCAGGGTTTTAAAATTTGTGAGATTGGTCCAGAGTTGTCTTTTTTGTGCCATCCTTTGTCTATTTTTTTGGTAATAAATATTAACTAGCCTTCTAGATTTGAGGAATTTTCCTTCTGTTTCTATATAGTAATGATCTGTTCCCTAATGGCTTCTTGGAGTAATTCATATTGGAATAATATTGTATATAATATTCTCTCAAAATCTGAAATCCCTTATTTTTATTTAGAACTGAATGCTTTTTATTTTGTATATTATCTCATTAAAAAATCTGATTTGCTAAAGGCTTTTTTTTAAAGAAAAAAAATTCATCACTCTTTAAAGAGTTATTATTCATCACTCTTTTTAAAAATTCTATTTTGTTTTCAATTTAACTAATTTATTCTTTTGACTTCCTTTAGGTCTATTTTTCCCTCTTTTTCTAGCTTCTTGAGTTGAATGCTTAATTCATTTAGTTTTAGTATTTCTTGTTTTCTGATAGATGCATCTAAAACTTTAAAATTTCCTCTGTCACTTTGGTTTCACTGTGCAGGCTTGGGTAAATAGTATGTTCACAGCTCTTTCCTAAATAATCTGTCTTACTCTTTTGATTTCATTTTTAATCTGAGAGTTTTAATTTCCAAGTGGAAAGTCTGGGTGTTTGTTTTTGTTTTCTAACCACTAAGTCTTATTTTCTAATTTCTGTTTGTTGCTCTGAGATTAGAATATAAGGTTTTGGGGCACCTGGGTTGCTCAGTGGATTAAAGCCTCTGCCTTCAGCTCAGGTCATGATCCCAGGGTCCTGGGATCGAGCCCCACATCGGGCTCTCTGCTCAGCGGCGAGCCTGCTTCCCCCCTCTCACTCTGCCTGCCTCTCTGCCTACTTGTGATCTCTGTCAAATAAATAAATAAAATCTTAAAAAAAAAAAAGAATATAAGGTTTCCTCATTAAAGTTCACCAAAGGGGTGCAGGGTTTTTGTATACCATTCAGGACACTCACCTGATACCTTGTGCTGATTCCAAATTTTAGCTCTTGAAGGCTATTCACCCTTGTTTTCTAATTTTATCTTCTCCCCTTCCCTGTAAACTAAAGCACTGTATAAGGGCTTTTACTTGCCTTTTATTTATTTAAAAATTTTTTAAAGATTGTATTTATTTATTTGAGAGAGTGTGTGCATGCACACAAGTAGGGGGAGTGGCAGAAGGAGAAGGATAAGTGGGCTCCCTGTAGTGTGGCTCCATCCCAAGACTCCGGGATCATGACCTGAGCTGAAGGTAGATGCTTAACTGACTGAGCCACCCAGATGCCCCTAAAATTTTTTTTTCATGATTTTAAGTGATCTCTACACCCTCACATGGGGCTTGAACTCATGACCCTGAGATTAAGAGTGGCAAGCTCTACTGACAAAGTCAGCCAGGTACCCCTGGTTTATCTTTTAATACCTTTCATCCTCTAGCGTCACTTTCTGAAACCATCCTTTTGTTGCAGCCATATTAAGGTATTACCATACTAAGTCCCTCAAACATCCTATTTTCTGTCATGACTGTGCTTAGGCAGAGTCTGTTCCTCCCTCCTGAAACAGACTTCTTTTCCCTTCACCCAACTTACTGACTTCAACCTGTTCCTCAAAATACAGCCAGTGTTACTCTGTTCTGGGAACATTATTTGACTTTAGCTCTTCCTCTCCCCTGTTCTCCCAACCGCCTTTCTCTGGACCCTGTAGCACCCTATAAACACTTCAATCTCCACCATACTAGTAGATTACATTTATTGAATGATTATCATTTTCCAAAGAAAGTGCTAAAGGCTTTATACACATTAGATCATTTGATCTTCACAGTATCTCCATGAGGCCCATGTTCTATGGAGAGAAGAATTAAGATTTAGAGAAAGGCTTGCCCAAGGTCTGCCACTTCCTAATAAATGGTGAAGCTGAAATTCAAATCTAAGTTTAATTTCAAATGCTGTATTATAAGTATATAGTATTTATAAATTGTATGATAAGTACTGATTTTTCTTCTTTATGTCCCCTATGAGGTCATGAGGTATCAGAGGGCACACTATGTCTTGATCATCTCTGAGCCTCTGGTGGAAACACAGGAAGTATTAAGTTGGCTGAGTTAATGAGCGAGAAGGTTGTTCTGGCTAAGAATCCTGGATTGAAAAGTACAATTCTCCTGGTTGGTGAACAAGCCTAAAGGCAGGATCACTACACAATGAAGAAGTCTCCTGTAAAGTGTTTTCCTGTATCTAATAAACTCTAGTAACCTTTATCCACTGAGGTGAGGTACAGGAGAGAAATGTTAGCTGGTCTCACAGTGGGATTTTCAGAACTCTAAAGGTTCTCTTAAATTAAGTTTATTTTCATTCTTTTTTTTTTTTCCTTTTTATTTAAAGAAGGAAACTTTGGGTTGACTTTTTTCTTTTTTTTTTTTTTTTTTTTTTTTAAAAGATTTTTTTTTATTTATTTGACAGAGAGAGATCACAAGTAGATGGAGAGGCAGGCAGAGAGAGAGAGAGAGAGGGAAGCAGGCTCCCCGCTGAGCAGAGAGCCCGATGCGGGACTCGATCCCAGGACCCTGAGATCATGACCTGAGCCGAAGGCAGCGGCTTAACCCACTGAGCCACCCAGGCGCCCCTGGGTTGACTTTTTTCTAACTTCTTATTCCATTGACTGGAGTAAGTATCCTCCCCATATCACCTCTCCCTCGACCCCCAACCAACATATAACTTTGGAACCATCAGCAAAAATCTCAGATTCTAAGAATGAAACAAATGATGTAGTCCTGGCTTACAGAATCATGCCCCTGGGGGACCTGCGCCTTTCTCACAATTGCCACGCAATCATGAAAACCCTGATGCTTTGGCCTGTCACGGATCCTGGACTGGTGCCTTTGGTTTAATGACTGCTGATCCTCATTCTGACGAATGTTCCAGATTTCAAAGGCTCTCAGCTATGCAAATGCACATGCATCTGAAGTGGCAGCATTTTGTGTGAAGGCAGGTGTTGAATGTGGCTCCTCCAAGGGCTGGGACCCCACACCCTTGTGTTGAACCTCTGCTCACTGGGCACTGGTTCCTTAGAACCCTATCTCCTTCCTTCCTCTTGAGCAGCATCAGTCAAAACTTCTGCTGAAGAGATTACATTAATCTAGTAGGTTTCATTTATCATGACAGCTCAAACAACCAAACCCTAAAGTGCAGCTGATCAGGCTTGCTGGAAACTCTTGGCTTCAGTGCAGTATAATGGAACTGGCTCCTTTAGGAGTGGAGAAGGATCTGGTTTGGATTTTCAAATCCCTCTTTGGCAAATTATTTTTTTTATTATGTGACAGATGAAGTTTGGCTGAATGGCTAAAATTCTGTGACCACTGATTTATATTTTCTCCAGTGACGAGTTAGATCATTTACAGATCTGTCCCTGTCCCCTTTACTGAGCCTCAATCAAAGCAAAATGGAGCACCACTGAATGGAAAAAGTAGTACACTTTAACAGCTCTGTGACCTGGGCAAACTGATCAAGATCATTGCACCTCGATTTTCTATTCTGTAAATATGTAATTCACATAATTAAACTGGGGAAATACACTCAAAATGTGATTACAAAAAGTACATTAACAGGCTTACACTTAAATTTAAAACACTTGGCTTCTTTAAAAAAGTAAAAAGCTAGCTTCCCTTGGTCTTAAAGCATTCCCTAGAATCAAAGGCAAAAGGGATTTGTCAAGGTTGCTTCCCACCTTCTATCCTGTTGGAAGGACTTCCCTCCCCCTCTCCTCTTTC